TTTACCTCATTGTTGACCATGGAGACCGAAAGTGAACAATTGTTTACTTCATTGTTGGCCATAGAAACCCACAGTTGAATATCGTTTTCTTCTTTGTTGATCACAGGGACACACACACAGTCGAATATTATTTTTACCATTGTTGACCATATAGACCCGCAGTGGATAATTGTTTACTTCATTGTTGACCATAGAGACCTGCAGTGGAACATTGTTTTACCATTGTTGACCATAGAGACCTGCAATGAAACATTGTTTTCTTCATTGTTGACCATAGAAACCTGCAGTTGAATATTATTTTTACCATTGTTGACCATAGAGACCTGCAGTGGACAATTATTTTCTTCGTTGTTTACCATAGAGACCTGTAGTGGAACATTGTTTTACCATTGTTGACCATAGAGACCTGCAGTGGAACATTGTTTTCTTCATTGTTGACCATATAAACCTGCAGTTGAATATTGTTTTACCATTGTTGACCATAAAGACCCGCAGTGTAATCTGTTTTTACCATTGTTGACCATAAAGACCCGCAGTGGATAATTGTTTACTTCATTGTTGACCATAGAGACCTGCAATGGAACATTGTTTTACCATTGTTGACCATAGAGACCTGCAGTGGAACATTGTTTTCTTCATTGTTGACCATAGAAACCTGCAGTTGAATATTATTTTTACCATTGTTGACCATAGAGACCTGCAGTGGATCATTATTTTCTTCATTGTTGACCATAGAGACCTGAAGTTGAATATTATTTTTACCATTGTTGACCATAGAGACCTGCAGTGGAACATTGTTTTACCATTGTTTACCATAGTGAACCACGGTGTAACATTGTTTTCTTCATTGTTGACCATAGAAACCTGCAGTGGAACATTGTTTTTACCATTGTTGACCATAGAGACCTGCAGTGGAACATTGCTTTACCATTATTGACCATAAAGAACACAGTTTAACATTGTTTTCTTCATTGTTGACCATAGAAACCTGCAGTTGAATATTATTTTTACCATTGTTGACCATAGAGACCTGCAGTGGAACATTGTTTTCTTCATTGTTGACCATAGAAACCTGCAGTTGAATATTATTTTTACCATTGTTGACCATAGAGACCTGCAGTTGAATATTATTTTTACCATTTTTGACCATAGAGACCTGCAGTGGAAAATTGTTTTACCATTGTTGACCATAGAGACCTGCAGTGGAACATTGCTTTCTTCATTGTTGACCATAGAAACTCATATTCTTCCCTTTTTTATGTTTATATTATCGCCATGAACGATATGTTTTTTTACCAAGTACACATTGTACATACCAACACAATTCCTGAGGGTAGATATGTGTGAATAGTGTGTAAGTACACCAAAGGTCTACCACATGCCGAAATTTGCAGTTACAGGGAGCCAAGAGTCCCGTTTGATTACTTGCACTCAATGGACATGTGCATTGAACGTAGGACTAAAAAAAACCATCATAATAATATTACATAAAGAGACTTTTTAAATTAAAGAACTGGTTCGTAAAAACAATCTTGAAGATAGAGGTTGCCTGGCCTGCATTCATAGTTCTTAAAAAAACACTTCGAGCAGAAAAGTTATTTTTTTTTATCAGACACTTCGGGCAGAAAAGGCTTTTTTTATCAGACACTTTGGACAGAAAAGGCTTTTTTTATCAGACACTTCGACCAGAAAAGGCTCTTTTTATCAGACACTTCGACCAGAAAAGGCTTTTTTTATCAGACACTTCGACCAGAAAAGGCTCTTTTTATCAGACACTTCGACCAGAAAAGGCTTTTTTTATCAGACACTTCGACCAGAAAAGGCTTTTTTTTTATCAGACATTTCGGGTAGAAAAGGTTTTTTTTTTATCAGACACTTCGACCAGAAAAGGCTTTTTTTATCAGACACTTCGGCCAGAAAAGTTTTTTTTTTATCAGACACTTCGACCAGAAAAGGCTTTTTTTTATCAGACACTTCGGACAGAAAAGATTTTAATTTTCTCAGACACTTCGACCAGAAAAGGTTTTTTTTTTATCAGACACTTCGGGCATAAAAGGCTTTTTTTCTCAGACACTTGACCAGAAAAGTTTTTTTTTTATCAGACACTTTGGGTAGAAAAGGCTTTTTTTATTAGACACTTCGGGCAAAAAAAGGCTTTCTGGCCAAAATGTGTCTCTTATTTTCAAGAACGATCAATCAAGCCACCATGTGAAGGTTGTACGAGTCAATGATATTCAGTCTACGCCATCTCGACAGGAAAGAGGCGATGTCACGCTTGTCAAAAGGGACGTGAGTCTTGTAAGAGAAATCCTTTGTGTATTGTCTGGAGACGTACGTGGCCCTGATTGAAACATCTTCGAACAGCGACTCTCTGTTCTCTATTCATCTTGTTTTTTTTTTTTTAAGCTTACAAGAGTCCAGCCAAGCTGTTGCATCTACGCAAGTACAGTCCTCATTTTATAACAGCATCTTCCACATAACACACTATTCAGAATCTCTTTTATTCACCTCCGTCCCTCCATATTCTCTTTTTTAAAACTTCTTCCACAAAAAAAAAAAAATATTTGACAAAAATATCATCCAGGGATGTGTTTCTTACATATGATTTTTAATATCTCTAGATTTCCAGCTTTAATGCCCTTCTCTACAAGAGAATTATTTATTATAACACCGCCTTTTAGACATAAAAAGTATTTTAAAGAATTTGTTTCATCGCAAAAAGGATAGTGGAAGTTTGTTTTTAGTGTATTAGAAACATCTGTGCTTAAATTCTTTCATTTCCTATGTATGGTAAACAATGTTCCACTGCAAGTCCCTATGGTCAACAATGGTAAAATAATATTTCACTCTGGGTCTTTATGGTCAACAATGAAGTAAACAATGTCCCACTCTGGGTCTCTCTATGGTCAACAATGAAGTAAACAATATTTCACTCTGGGTCTTTATGGTCAACAATGAAGTAAACAATATTCCACTGTGGTTATCTATGGTCAACAATGGTAAAACAATGTTCCACTGCGGGTCTCTATGGTCAACAATGGTAAAATAATATTTCACTCTGGGTCTTTATGGTCAACAATGAAGTAAACAATGTCCCACTCTGGGTCTCTCTATGGTCAACAATGAAGTAAACAATATTTCACTCTGGGTCTTTATGGTCAACAATGGTAAAACAATGTTCCACTGAAGGTCTCTATGGTCAACAATGGTAAAACAATGTTCCAATGCAGGTCTCTATGGTCAACAATGAAGTAAACAATATTCCACTCTGGGTCTCTATGGTCAACAATGAAGTAAACAATATCCCACTGTGGTTCTCTATGATCCAACAATGGTAAAATAATGTTTCACTGCGGGTCTCTATGGTCAACAATGGTAAAACAATGTTCCACTGTGGTTCTCTATGTTCAACAATGGTAAAACAATGTTCCACTGCGGATCTCTATGGTCAACAATGGTTAAAACAATATTCCACTCTGGGTCCCTATGGTCAACAATGGTAAAAGACAATATTCGACAAAAATCGAACACGCATATTCTCTATTCAAGAAAACTCTTGTAAAAAATTCTACCCATGTGATCCACAATAAATTGAAGGTTTTTTAAAATCTCACACAAATCTCTGTTTATTTTAAAAAGCCTCTTAATTGTCGCGTATATAACTTAAAGTCTTGGAAAAATTGATCCTGAAAGAAGAAGGGCGTCCAGCCCTGTCGAATTATCGGCTGTTTAATAAGTAATTATACATTTTCGAATATTCAGATTTGAGTGAGATATGTAAATATGTTATAGTAACTACATTGACGCAGGTGTGTAACTCTAGCTGGAATATCGCGCTTTGTGCTTAAAATAACACATTTTGCACAATAAATAATTATAAATATAAGCTAATTTATTATTTTTGATTCTCTCTATAAATATTGTTTATAATTAAATAAAATTATTTTGAAAGATATAAAATTACATTTGGTTATGGAGAACTTTACACAACAGTATTTTATAATTTATAAATAAATGTATATATGTCATAATATATACTCTTCCAGGAATAATAAAGCAAGCCTACAGTTGACCCAGAGAGAGACGGGAGGGTAAGGAACGGTCACTTTAGACATCAGCGACATTCCAAGGGGCTCCTGGGGGCCGTCACTTAACACCTCGGGACTTTGAAGACAGTTGGGGGATTGTGGGCGACAAGAACGAACGGCCGGCCGCTCAGCGGTGGCAGGCCCGTCTCTCCCCCCCCCTCTCTCTCTCTCTGGTTGCCTGGGTTCCTCTACCAACTTGTGGTGTGATTATTTCTCTTTCCCCACCTTATTATTATATTACCACATTAAAAGTCAACAGGATAAGACCTGGCCGGGAAACAAATTCCCATACCTACTAGAATATGAAGAAAAAAGGAGCACAGCCATGGAGATCGGACGAACCCACAGCCAAGCTCCCCAATAATTTACAACCGACCCAACTGTAGCCACTCCTCTTCGAGCTCTCACCCCCTTCCTCGCCAACTTTTGAACCGTGATCCGGAATAAGTGATCACCAACGACGGAGATGAACCTGCCGCACGCTTCTCTCAACACTAGATCTGCCCAAGAACGATCACCGCGCCAGAGCAGGACACCTTCCATCATCATGGACAAGACTCCGCCATATCCCTGACACTACTGTGGCGGACAACACTGTCCCGTACAATATCAGCAGAAAGAACCCTCCCTCAATGAACTTAATGAATCTACTTGCGCCCTCAACCAGTATAACCTGTGAGTGTAATTGTTTCCACCCCTACCATTCATTCTTTAAAGAAGTCATTCCTTGTAGACTCTGGTGCCAATATTTACATAATTATAAAACGACACTTGCAAGTTTAACCGCATGAGTTTCTTTTCAACGACAAATTAAAATTTTATTTTAAGGTGAAATATCGACAATTTCTAACCTTTTGGATGAGGTATGAAAGGATGAATTATGAAGAGTAATGACGAACGGAAAAATAAAAGTGTCCAGGGATGGGAATCGAACCCACGACCTTCCGCTTACCGGGCAGATGCCATGTCGTGGGTTCGATTCCCATCCCTGGACACTTTTATTTTTCCGTTCGTCATTACTCTTCATCAAAGGTTAGAAATTGTCGATATTTCACCTTAAAATAAAATTTTAATTTGTCGTTGAAAAGAAACTCATGCGGTTAAACTTGCAAGTGTCGTTTTACAATTACATGCCGCAGTGTATTATATTGTATTATAAGTTACTTTATGTATCATTTACGAACGGAAAAATACGTCCAGGGTAGCCTAGTGGACATGGCATCTGCCCGGTAAGCGGAAGGTCGTGGGTTCGATTCCCATCCCTGGACACTTTTATTTTCCGTTCGTCATTACTCTTCATAATTCATCCTTTCATACCTCATCCAAAAGGTTAGAAATTGTCGATATTTCACCTTAAAATAAAATTTTAATTTGTCGTTGAAAAGAAACTCATGCGGTTAAACTTGCAAGTGTCGTTTTACAATTACATGCCGCAGTGTATTATATTGTATTTACATAATTATTTTAGTTAAATTTGTGTGAATATGTAAAAATGTTTAATGGTTCCATTTATTCTCTCCACCCCTATTAACAGTGATCTTATTATCCATACTATATCTAGCTATGTGAAACCGACTGGATTAGTAACCTTACCATTCTAATTTAATATAATTGTCTTTTTATTGTGTGAAATATTTTTATTTTAAAGTCATTCCTTAAAATTGGCATTCTATCTATGTACACTTTACGATTTTTAATAATAACAATCTTTTTTCATAATAGTGCTCACATTCACAATAGGGCTCCAGTACCTAAACATTTGTACCCTTTTGTATATGACCTTCTCTCCTACTTGTAAGCACGGCTCACGAAATATAATTTCTTGCCCCAAACGACTTATAATTCATTCTATTAGCTCAGGCGTCGAAGAATTCCAACCACCAAGTGAGCCTTGCTTACAACCAACCCTTAGTAACCTTATCAATCTTTCCCTGAATGTCCCACTCATCCTTTCAACTTTGTCAACCTTCTACCAGTCCATGCCCCTCTTGAGAATTAATGAGTTGTCAATTATCGAGCTACTTTTGCCACTAATCTACACTCTTCATTTACGATAATATATTTTGTAGTTGCTCTCTAGCATATCCACCGACCCACACCATCTAGCCACTGGTGTGTTCGTCACAGGATGCAGATTGACTAACTGCTAGATGTTTATCAACTCCTTTTTGTTCGCACTTGAACAATCTGCATCGAGCAGCACAGTTCGCTCCTTCTCCTCGCGCCACACATTCGCCACACGGGCCCTGTCTTCAAATCTATGTTTGTCCCTTGTCCAAACCAGCACGATATAACCTACCTCCGATATTTCCCACGGAGGTACGTTAAACATCGTCGCTGATTCTGTCCGGTCCGTCATCATTTCGCGCAGACATGGGTTTTACGTTCAAACCGTCGCGAAATCAACTCCTCGCACAAGCTCCCACGACGGTTTAAACACCTCGTGTACGAGAAGTTTGTAAATTGTAAAGGACAACGCCGTCCTCGTCCCAATTTTTGGCACTGTGCGCGCACACTTTCCTTCAATTAGTTAAAACTACAAAGGCTCATAGTATCGAAATAATTAAGGTAGAAAGACCCAAAGCAAGTTTCCCCTCGTTCTGTTCGCCTATATTCTACCTTTGTATCTCGAACTATTTTATCTACTCAAATTAACTATAAGTCCATGCGACTTCCTCACCTACACACGGGACTTTTCCCCTCGGACTCGCTACACAAGTAACTTCATAGATAAGGTAGAATGGCCCAAAGCAAGTTTCCCCTCGCTCTGTTCGCCAAAATTCTAACATTGTATGTAGTCCTATGTTTACCTCAGTTCTGAACTCACGCAATTTCCACCCTCAACCTCATTTCTCGTACTCTACACCTATAGCATAGAAAGCCCATGCCAAGTTTCCCCTTGCCATGTCCGCCTGAAAAATATCTTAAAGTGTAGAGTTCCCCAGTCTTAATGACCTTCAGAATTTCACCATGTGTATGTGACTCCCCTTCTCGTTGTTCACACTCCTCAATATCATTTCCCTTATAATACAGTAGATGTTATTGTATATAGCCTTTTGTAGCTTTGATATTATCCAAAATTATCTTGAATATCAAACTCTCCGGTGTTGTAAAACTGCTTGTAAATAATATTTACTTGTGTACTATACAATATTTTATTTACATAAAACTATGTCACCATAGCCTTAATTAATTTCAACTGTAAAATTATTTTCTTTATTTCTGGCTTCTCCAGCTTTAAGTATACTCAAACCATGTTCAGCCTTCTTCAACGGGGGCCATATGTCATAATATATACTATTCCGGGAATAATAAAACAGACCTACAGTCAACCCAGAGAGAGACGGGAGGGTAAGGAACGGTCACTTTAGACATCAGCGACATTCCAAGGGGCTCCTGGGGGCCGACACTTAACACCTCGGGACTTTGAAGACAGTTGGGGGATTGTGGGCGACAAGAACGAACGGCCGGCCGCTCAGCGGTGGCAGGCCCGTCTCTCCCCCCCTCTCTCTCTCTGGTTGCCTGGGTTCCTCTACCAACTTGTGGTGTGATTATTTCTCTTTCCCCATCTTATTATTATATTGCCACATATATACACTCATGGACAAAACTCAGAGACAATTTTGTTCACACTTGGTTATCTCGTGTATCTTCAATAAAGGCCACTGTAATATTTTTCAGAGTTATTGTCTGAATCCCGATATATACATGCTAAAAGGTACAACTTCCTTAAGTTTTGTTCATGTGCATGTACAAAATGTAGCACCTCTGTTTTTAAAAATGCATCAAAACATTGCGTTTTAAATGGAAAGATGCCAATTTTGGTATATGACTATCACCCTTCCCTAACTTTATGTTATATTTCAAGCTTTGTATTTATATTATTTTCTTCTCTTTCTTTTTTTTTCTATTCAAGTTCAAAGACTCATACTTGCCGATACTTTATTGGATATTTGACTCAATTTTTTTTTAATTAAAACAATATATATTAAATTTATATAAAAGGATGTACCTGGATCTGTAAAGAAAAAAAAAATTCTCAAAATATTTCGAGAGATTGCTCCCTCTTTATCAGGTATGCCCTTTTATTTAAACTTAATTGGTGGATCGCCTTTTGACTCAATATATATTAAATTATTTTCAAACACACGAAGCTTTTCCAAATCATCCATAATAATTAAAATAAATACAATTCTCTAATTATTACATCTATCTCATTATTTAAAATACGTCTTCTCGAAATAGCTAGATTTTAATCATTTCTTAGAGCCCTTTAAAGTAAATTATAACACAAAATATAAGTTGGAAAGAAGAAACTATTTTTATAATGCACGCCATCTGTTATAAAAAACTTGAACTATTTTTGACGCCTATTTTATAAAAAAAGAAACATACGCTTCTAAAAAAATAGTTTACATTTCTTAATACATTATATTGTTGCACCAGGTTGCGGCTTGGCAGACTCTTCAAACTTGGTCCTCTCCTGTGCTGGGTCTTGCATCTTACCAGAGCGTGTTTCAACCCTCCTACAAATTTATATAAGGGAATAATGAGATAACTCTACTTTAAGTAGCCTCCAGAATAATTTATTTATTTCTCTCATCAAAGAGAGCAGTGAAGTCACACAGTTTACCTAAATACAAATGATGATTCTATAATACATATATTCTGTTTATAATATATATATTCTGTTTAATAAAATAAATAAAATATAATTTTGAATTTAAAATATATGAAAAATAATATTACAAATTAAAATAAAATAGGTTCATTAGCCATGATGCAACAATATAAATAACAAACTCAAAAGGTATTCTCTATCAAATAGGAGTTTTTCCTCTACAATGTAAAGAAGAAATCCATACAACAAAAAAAACTTAATTTGGATTTTCCACTTAGTTTCTTCATGAATGAATCAGTGATGTAACACGCAGTGTTGCTGGATAGATATAAGAGAGTAAGTTATCAGTGAATATTCCCATTTGTAGAAGGACTGGTGCTAGACGTGCCTGGGCTTTTAGGCATGTTTAGTGGATGGTGTAGCTGGAAATCCAATTACAGGAGGTAGTAAAGGTGAGCTGGACGTATACAGCCGACCTAATTGCACACAGGCCAGATTAACGGCCTGATTACACAGGAAGGTGCTAAGAATCCTTCCGCCCTGCACGTGATCATCCCACTAAATGATATATAAAAACCTTCTTTCTCTCTCTATATACCCCACACACACAATCTCTCGGTAAAAATCCTTACAACCTACGGCGATCAAAACACACTTGTGATGATTTCATAATCATGATTTTTTAATAATAACGATAATTTTCTATAAATTAATTATATATAAAATGGAATGATTTAAAAGCACGAATGTTTCTTTTATACATAATACAAACTTCTACTGCCCTTACTGCGCAGTAAGAAGGGCATTAGAAGTTCGTATTATGTATAAAAGAAACATTCGTGCTTTTAAATCCTTCCATTTTATATGTATAGATGGCGCGTTATTGCTTTGTGTAAATTAATTATAGCGATGAAAAAAAAAGAGATTAAATAAAATCCTGAAGGATTTTATAAATATATTTGTATATCATAATCAACAATAAGGCTCCAAGGATAAATATCTTCTTTTCAAAAGAAGTCACTTTATCCTTGGAGACTTTGTTGTTGATTCTGATTGTGATCAACAGGATTCTAACCATTTATTTGTTATTGGAAATATTCAGATATATTTCATAATTTGCCTAATGCCCAAGAGATATAATTTATTTTGGCCATAATTAGTATTTTAAAATGTAAATACAAATTTATCCATCTATAAATCTGTACAAAATAAACGTGGGAGCCAGCGCGCGCGGGCGAATGCTACGGCATGCCCCCGCGTGCGCGCGCTCACGAGTGTGGAACAAGTTCTTTTTCGGAGCTTACATGCACAACGGCTGCGCCCTTCCATTCGACCACGACAGATACGACACATATATAATAAGGGTTATACTA